CCTCCCCCCCCCATCTACGGTATTTACAATTGTACATGTCGCAAATGATTTTTTGTATTACTCATTAGAATGCCTTGTGGTTTGTTGTCACTAATCGGGCTCTCGTTGTGAGGACGTGACATTACTTCGTTTCGACTTAGATTTACATGGTGGGTTTCACCGATGATGCAGAAGACGCTTACCCTTCCGGAACACCTGGTCTTATTCGCCTTGTACTCTTTCATGGGTATACATGTAAATCTTTTCTCTCAGCATAGTTGTCATAGTTCCAACAATAGCTTTTATAGTATATGTCAACAGTATCAACCACATTTTCTATAGATTCAGTATAGATTCAATTATTGTCAGTATATAAGTTTGTTCTACATTGCATTATCAATTTCATAATCATTTATCATATTTATGATAATAACGATTTTATGTGGATCCGGTTTTAAAGACTCACACAACTTAATCAGCCACAATCGTCAAGTTTTTCAATACAATGCCTTATTTCATATATATCGACATTTTTTAATTGAATGAAATCTACAGATATTTTAAAGTTTGAAATAATGTTTTAGTTGATTTTAATATGTGATGGCGGATTTATATGGGGTCAGAAGTCTGGGGGTGTTCCCGAACTGCTTCACCGGTAAGGCTTGTACACTTCCGGTTATCAAAAGCAGAATCTTGTAGCGCTTTTATATGTCACTAAACCTGCCAAAATATGCCATTTGAAGCCATTATCAGGTATGTATCTATCAATCTAGATAGTTATCACTAGTGCTGAACTTTAATTAATAAAAGTACATTCTGACAGTTTGTTCCTGATTTGGGGCTTGTGCAAGTCTACGTATTGACGTTTTGTAAAAGAATATAGTCCTTCATTGAAGGACAATCATACAGCATGATGGTGTACGCTGATAGTTCAATTTAGCCAAATTATGAAGAAACAAAACACAAAAACATATTTCATATGTCATGTTTCATTTTTTGTTAATTAATTCATACGTTAAGGCATTACATTTTCTGACACGCCATCGCGGAAGAATAATGTCTAAACGCGGTGCGCAGGCTCAGCTGCGAGTGTATTATAGCCATCTTTTTACTAGCTCGAAGTTGATCATGAGAGTTGCTAAATTTCGAGGTTATATATCTTCTTGAATTTGAAGCTGCAGTAATTGAATGTTGAATTAGACAGGAAATTAGGCGTGACTTGAAAGGACGAAACAATTTGACATGGCAGTTGGCTGTTCGACTGCATTTCATATATGACGTGACCACATGGATGTGTGATCCACGTTGTTTTCGATTTGTACCGGGGGTTGACACCGACACAAGGGGCAGAATGGGTAGTTGGAGGGGAGGGACACTTTCTAGGGCAGTACATGAATTGTCTCTACCGCTAGCAACAACTGATAATATTTTGCTGATTGATTGTTTTTGGTTGCTTAAACAATTTCTTCTGTTGCTTCAATAAAAATGTAAATTTAAAGATTCAAATAGTTATCTCCCTTAGCAAAATCTGAAAATATGTATTCATACGCACAGACGATGTTAATCTGCAAATGAAACAGGTAACATTTAGTAATTACGTTGAGTCTAACTTGAGTCGAAATTGAAATGTAAATGAATTACATGTACCTTTATTAACAACTGGTGTAGTTGATTTAGCAAGTTTTAAGAGTATAAGCTTGATACGGATTGTATTAATTATTAATAGTTGTATATAATGTCAAATATTAACAATGAAAGACGCTTAATACAATTTATATTGATAATGGAAATTTGATGTATACATACATATGTTACTATGGAATGGGTACAATATGATTAAGGTACGATAGTTAGATATAGCTGTTTATGTCGTTACAGCTCTAACCCATGTTGGTGTGAGGCCAGATAGACATTGGTGATCTAGCATACACAAGTAACCATAGTGACCAGTCCTATGTGGGCAACTATTTAAAAGATGTCCTATGCGGGCAACTTTATACATGTATTGACGTAGTCCTGTGTAGGCAAGATGAACTGTCAAAGATGTTACCCCCAGGGTCAATTAAGCTGTCTAGAGCTGTTGTGCAGTATCCTATTGTTTGTTTTTTGTTCAATCTGCATATATGAATGTGTATGTGTATGATAGATGTGAGACAATTGTACAATAAGTATATCTATGTGTGTGTATAAATAGTGTAATACACTTATGTATATAGTATTTATCTTGTGTTTGTTCCATTCTTGACATCAGCGATGCTAGTCCAGGTTACAATGGTTTGCCCTAGTTTTTATTGATTATGATTTGTTGACACTTCGGTATTCTCTTCTTGTGTAATCTTTCCTGAATCAACAAGGCAGTACTGTATACGATTCCCTGTGGTAGATCAATAGGTTAAAATTTGTTAAAATAATTTCTACTATTGCTGCTGCATATTGCAGAGACGGGCAATCTCGGAGTCCTTATGCAGTTTTTGACCAGTTTGTTGTTTTCTTGTGTAAAGGGGCGTATCCATACAGTTTCTTTTCACAAATCGAAAGATGATTTTATTATCTCTGTCCCGGTATCGCTTAAAACAAAACCCCCAAAAAACTCGACAATTTCAGAATTTTTTATACAGAAGATATTTTCCCTGCTGTGGTGAAACAGTAAAAATAGCTTCTGTACTTGCAGTCATAAAATTCCTTCAAACCTAATCAAACTAAAGAAATCCTTATACTGACATGTTTATTATGGGCACAATGTTTGGGTAGTACGTTCTGTCTCATGATATTTCAAGCTACATTGGGAACCGAACGAGACACCTTAAGCTAAGCTAATGATTACATTATCAGCAGGGCCCCGGTTTCATGAACGTTCCTGAAATTTAAAGAGCTCCTTTGTTAAGTTAAGGAGCGATAATGAAACACATTTTTCAGAAAAACTCATCTTTGGAATTCCTTGGCGATTTTCAGTTAAGGAAACATTTTAGTTAATGAAAGTGATTAGGATAAAACTATATATGAGGGGGTCACTTTATGATATATATTTTTATTTAAACTTTAATTTCCATTTCTGTTCGCATTGACTAAGTTTTACTTTTTTATGTTTATGATAGAATAGAATCAACAGTCCCTGCAGGTAGGGCGTAAAAATTGTACCTGCTGTCTCCATTGCATGATCGTAAGAGGCGACTAAATTTGGGACCTTACCTTTTCTCTTCTTTCTAAACAACTTTCTTCTTCCTAATGTCTCCCTTGACAATGCCTCACTTTTGGCCTTTAGTTGAGCGTTCGCCCTTGTGAGGAAGGCCTTAGGTTCTGTCCACTGGCCGAGAGTTTCTACTCCTGCTTAACGCTCAGCAATGTAGGTGTGGGACGACTGCTTCCCCCGTTGTCAGTTTAATGTGACCGGGTGTGGTGTCCTGCTGGGTGTCTTCGGCATTATGTTTCAGTGAGGTAGCACTATAAAGTCGGCATCAGTTCCGTGCTATCACAAGGAGATAAACACGAACATATCGCACACTACACGCATGCATCTTGCACACAGGGGTGGCCGTCCTTAAATGACCATAGCTGATGATAGGACGTTAAAC